CTTGCCGCAAAAATGGATGTATTTAGAACTAAAATACATCTAGATACATTAATTTCGTATTTCTGGACGAAGGGAGTATTTTTATAAGCTTGTTGTTGCGGATTGATTTCAGAAATCATTGACCAGTCAAAATCACGAATCAAATTCAAAATTAAACACCTCACTTGAATGTGAGAGTTCCTTGAGAAATTATTAACAAACTAAAAAAAATGGAAACTCAATACAAAATCATATTGGTGCTACAGTGTTACATGTTGGCATTCTTTTTTCTTTGTCATTTGATGAGAGCACGCGTGAGATGACATATTTTTAAGCTGGTTGCTGCCGGTTGATTCGAGAAAACATTGACCAGTCAAAATTGTCAACATAATATAAAATTGAACACCTCACTTGGATAAGAGAGCACAATTGTTGAGAAAGTCCAAATTAAAAATCCAATCCAAAACCAATGTCCTCAATTGAGAGAGGCCTTCACTCCCTAGGGAGCTTAGTCATATCATAGATATTTTATTTTTAAAATACTAACTCTTTACTCAATAATATAATTACAATAATTATAGTAATTTGTGGAGCTTCACTTAGATTGGAGGATTAATACTTGGACATATGTGGATCCGCAATACTTGGACATATACAGAGGTGTCGAGTCGATGTGAAGGTGTTCACTCCCGGCCGTCGCTTGAAGGGAGGCGGGCGCTGATACATCTCCAATGTGTCTATAATTTTGTATTGTTTCATGCTATTATATTATCAACTTTGGATGTTTTTATGCATTAATATGCCATTTTATATTATTTTTGGGACTAACTTATTAACCTAGTGCCCAGTGTCAGTTTCTGTTTTAACTTGTTTTTGAGTTTTGTAGAAAAGGAATATCAAACGGAGTCCAAACAGAATAAACTTTATGATGATTTTTCTTGGACCAGAAGACATCTACGAGACTTGGAGATGAAGTCAGAAGACCCATGAGGTGACGACAAGCCGTAGGGGTGCGCCCCTGGGCTTGTGGCCCCCTCGGGAGCCCCCTGTACCGACTCTTTGGCCTATAAATTTCCAAATATTCCAGAAACCCTAGAAGCATCCACAAAAATACTTTTCCACCGTCGTAGGTCTCTGTTCCCGTGAGATCCCATCTTGGGGCCTTCTCCGGCACTCCGTCGGAGGGGGATTCGATCACGGACCTTGCTGCCCCTCCGATGATGTGTGAGTAGTTTACCACAGGCCTACAGATCCATAGGTAGTAGCTAGATGACTTCTTCTCTCCCTTTGATCTTCAATACAATGTTCTCCTCGATGTTCTCAGAGATCTATTCCCGACAATTCTTTTTTTTTTCTGATTTAAATGACAAACAAGTTTGGGTGTGGCAGGACTCAACCAGGGACTTCTTCATACAAAGTTTGAGGCGATAACCAACTAGCCATGGTAAGCTGATGTGTTTCCTTATGTCTTTCACCATCTCCTCTTTCCTTTTTTTTTCTTTTTCCTCTTTTCTTTTTTCTTTTTTCTTTTTTCTTTTTTCTTTTTTTCCTTGTTTCATTTTATCTTGTTTCTTCAAACGTTTTGTTGCATTTATAGTTTCCTTTTTCTGTTTTTACTTTTTCTTTTTTATGTTCCTTTTTGTTTTCTTTTTTCTTTTGCAATGTGCAAACTTTTCCAATTTCATTTTTTTAAATTCAATGATTTTTCCCAAATTCATGATGTTTTTTTTTCAAAATTGATGAACCTTTCGATCATCTTTTTTCAAAATGAATGGGTTTTTTTTCAAAGTTGATGAACTTTTTTTTCAAAGCCGATATTTTTTCCCAAATTTATACAGTTTTGCCAAAATTCATGAACTTGTTTCAAAATCGATGAACTTTTTTTCCAAAGTCCATGAAATGTTTGTCAATTCATGGTATTTTTAATTTGTGAACATTTTGCAATCCATGAACTTTTCCAAAAAGATGAATAGTTTTCTTAAAGTCAAGGTCAAACATGTTAATGGTCAATTTGTGCGTCTATATAAGCGTCTACGTCTGTACTGTATCAAAAAAGGTATTGAGCTGTTTGAGGAAGTAAATCTATTGTACGAGTGAAAGAACCATTGCAAGCTGCTGCGGTACCGAATGGACAATCTTAACCTACTAATAAAGCATGCATTGCTTTTGTCGGGTTCACCGTCGCGGCATTTTTGCATCAAGCCTCCAGAAATTATGGGCAATTAACCCGCACTTTTTTACCTACAAAAAAATTGTGTTACGTTTTGCCTCAAATAAACAAATTGATTTACCTAGACTCGAAACCCGCCCACATGGTTTGAGTACGCACGTACAGACCAGCCCACCTAGCCAGCATATTGTTTAGAAGGGAAAGAAAGATTCCCCATTTTATATTGGTTGTTTTGACGTGTTCCTTTCTCAAGAGCAACTAGTTAACGAGCGCTCCGTCGGGAGCCTTACAACGATCAGCGTCACTTGTCGCTCTCAGTCATTCGCCACGTGTCGCGCTCTGGACGCTCCTTCTGGATTTTTTTTCACACGCGTTTTTGGCTTTTAAAACGTTTTTTTTCGACATTTTGGTTTTCCACCGGTCTTCATTAACTTTTCAATTAAAAAATCATAAAAAAAATTACGCAAAAAAACGCATTTTCTTTTCGTTCTTTCACGAGAGTCACAGTTTTGCTTCCGCGAAATGCACGGTTTTGCTTTCGTGAGAGTCACAGCCGTGCCTTTCGGAAACAAAAAATAAAATGCATTTTCTTTCTTTTTCCTCTCGTGAGAGTCATGGTTTTGCTTCCGTGAGAGCCACGGTTGTGCTTTAGCGAGAGTCACGACCGTGGCTCTCGAAAATGAAAAAAAACGTGTGTTTTTTTTGCGAGATTCACGGTTTTGCTTCCGCGAGAGTCACGGCCGTGCCTCTCGGAAACAGTAAAAATATGTTTTCTGTTTTTTTCTTTCGCGAGAGTCACGGTTTTGCTTCGCGAGAGGCACGATTGTGCTTCACGAGAGTCACGGCCGCCTCCTCGGAAACGGGAAAAAAACATGTTTTCTCTTTTTTTTCTTCCGCAAGAGTCACGGTTTTGCTTCCGTAAGAGGCACGGTTGTGATTTCGTGAGAGCCACGGGCGTGCCTCTTTCGTTAAGGGAAAAATCCATGCTCCCGGTTCGGTTTTTTCTCTATCAACATGAGATCTAATTTTGAAGATCTCGGCGCGAAGATTCCAACGGTGAAAGCAGTTAGAGATTTGGATGCACGGTTTAAGCGATAAAACGTTTTGAATAAATGGATCTACGAAAAAAATGGCATTAATGAAGGTTTGAACTCTGGACCAACACCCTACCTTCCAACAAACACAACCAGCCATGCTACATTATTGGTCTGGGTGAATGTTGGGTTCTTTTGGTAGTTACATGTCGCTTCTTTATATCTAATTTTACCGATTTGTCCCACCTTGCTTCTTTAGATCAAATCTTACCGATTTAAATACATCCACAAATAGTCTGAAGATACAACAAGACAAAGACCCAATAAAGAAGAAGATGCATTGTTGGGGAGTGAAACGTGCCTTGGGAAAGGAATTAATCAGGGTTGACTTGAAGGAATAAAACTCGCCTTGCGGAAGTATATACGACAAGGCTTACGAGCGCAGCACATGAAATAGGTCGAAATAAAATAGAATAGAAGAGTTGCAAACCAAACAATCCATATTCCTTTGAAGTTCTGCAAAAAAGATTTGGCTGAAAGCACAATTGTTTTAAATGTTAGAAAAAATTGATACTTATTTAGCAAGGGGAGTGTGATATTATTTTTCTCCGGGTTGCAAGGCACCGGCATATGTGCTATATATTTTAATTGATCACTTTTTATTTCTTTTGTGCTAAATTAAAGAAAAAGTTGAAGCTCGACAAGTTTGTGTCACTTTTCAGGATGACTGTTGCAAACGTCTGGTATGCTGCAACCCGAGCCAACTATGGACGTGAACTGGTCAGTAGTAGCCACGTTGGCTATCCACACCAATTGTAGCCATATGTAGGAGGTGTCGGTTGGTAGTTGCCACGGGAGTTGAGGGCATCATGTGTGACCGTGAAGGCACTAGACGTCCTAGGAGATACAGGATGCATCATAGTCAAATAACAAAGTTCAACCTGTAATGACGCACGGGCATTTGTGCTAGTTAAGAACAATGCATGAGAACTGGTAGGTGATACTATCAATTTTCATTTTTTATTCATATAAAGAACTATGCTCAAATGTCTCCATGTTAATGGGACATGACGACCTTGATCTCGAACTGCTTCCCGATGACCAGCGATAGCCCACTGACACTGAATACTCCATTCGTGCGGGACTTGGTGCCGGCTGCCTTGAGCTTAGCGCCATTCACATAGATGGTAAACCCCTTTGGTGGCGACGGGAGCCCCATGAAGGCCACCTTGCCGATGACTAGAGTCCGGCTCGGCGCGTATGAGTTCTGCACCACATGCGAACTCACTGTGGTCGTGATGATGCCCTTGATATCCTCCGTGTTGCAGCTAAACCTCACGAGCGTCCAGTTGCCTCCCACCCCTCCCATCTCCGGCGACTCGCCGTCATCCAAGAACAGCTCCCCGCTGGCAGTGCCATTCTCCGCGAGCGCCACAAGGAGGTGGAACTCGCTTTGTCGTGCGGTGGACGTGGTCAGGCCGGGCTGCTGCAGCGGTAGTATGTTGCCGCCGGCCAGGTGCACGTTTGCCGAGTCCGCTGGCGCTGGGAGCGTCACTCTCTTGCCGGTCTGCAAGGTGATGGCGGGGGAGCGGTCGTGAAGACTAAACCACCGGCCGGCTGGGAAATAGGCATCCACAGTGGTGGCGCCTGGATCTAACACCGGAGAGACAAGCACGCCATGGCCTAGCAGGAACTGCCTGTCCACGCCGTAGGTGTCGGCATCCTGAGGATAGGAGAAGAAGAGAGGGCGCGCTATGGGTGACCCCGCTGTGTGCGCCTCATACATGAGTGTGTAGATGTAGGGGAGCAGCCGGTACCGCATCCCCAACGCCTTCCTCGCCGACTGTGCCGTCAACTCCCACACATAGAGCTCTCGCCGGACGGTTGTCTTCTCTGCATGGGCCCTGGCAAACGGGTAGAATGCACCAAGCTGAATCCAGCGGCTGCAGAGCTCCTGGGTCGTGTTGCCGTTGAAGCCACAGATGTCGGCGCCCATCATGGGGATGCCGAAGAGTCCAAAGTTGAGGATGGTGTTGATGGAATGCGCAAGCTCGTCCCACCGTGCGGCATTGTCGCCGGTCCAGTGAGCGGTGTAGCGCCCCGAGCCGATGAACGTGGCGCGACTGAGCACGAAGGGGCGGCGCGACGTGTCCTTGAGAAGAGCATCATGTGTGGCCCGGGACTCGAGGAGGCCGTAGAGGTTGTGCGCGTCATACTCCGACACGCCATTGAAGTGTACTGCGGAGACCGGCACGGTCTTGTTATTAAGGTTACGGTGAATGCCGGTGTTGTTGATGCGGTAGGGCGAGTCATCGTATTCATTGAGCGGCTCCCAGGCCTTGAAGTTGGAGGGCTCGTTCATGTCACACCACAGCCCATCGGCAGGGATGGTTCGACGGAACTCAGAGATTTTCCGCGCCCAGTACTCAGCGGCGCGTGGGCTCATGAAGTCTGGGTAGTAGACCTCGCCTGGCCACACCCGGCCGACATAGTTCGTACCGTTTCGCTGGAGGAACAAACCCACGGCCTCATTTTGAGGAGGTGCTGCTTCTTTTTTGATCGCCGGGTCTATGATGACCACGTATTTCTGGCTGTTATTGTGGAGCCGGTCGACAAACGGCCGGAGCAGTTTCGCCGGGTAGTTCACCGGATCCAGCGTGAAGTCCTGGTAACCGTCCATGTAATCGATGTCGGACCAAATCGACTCCAGTGGGATCTTGGCCTTGGCATAGCCGGCGACCACACCCTCCAAATCAGCCACATTCTTGTAGCCATACCTGCACTGGTGGAACCCTGCACATCAAGAAAGTAACAACGGATCGGGTGAGCAAAGTAGATTGATATATGCATGAACAGAACTAGCAAAACGATTGGCCGCACATACCGAATGACCAGTACGGCATGGGAGCAGGGCGGCCGATGAGCTGGGTGTACTGGTCGACGACGGCGAGCGGGGAGGGGCCTGCGAAGAAGTAGTAGTCGAGCACGCCGCCGATCACCTTGTAGGTGATGTAGGACCCGCCGTACTTTATGTCCATCCCGTTGCTGTTGAGGAGCAGCACGCCGTGCGCAGCGCCGCCGGGGCGCACGTCCATATAGAATGGGTGCGAGCTGTAGAGGTTGATGTCCAGTAGGTCTGACCTCTCCAGGTCCTCGTTCCAGATCGTGAACGTGTCGTTCTGCTGGAGCCGGAACGTCCGTTTCGTCTGCTCGCCCAGCCCATATAAAGAGGCCCCCCTGGCTGGCAGCGCCGACGTCACCACCAAGTACCTGCATTATAGTTAGTTCAACATGCCCATCACTCCATCAGTACTTGGCTATTTACGGATCAACTAGCTACGCCGGGTGTCTGGTGCTATCATGTTATGTACTCCCTCCGTTCCTAAATATAAGTCTTTATAGAGATTCCACTAGAGACTACAAACGGAGCAAAATGAATGAATCTACACTCTAAAATGCATCTATATACATTCGTATGTGGTTCATAGTGAAATCTCTGCAAAGACTTATATTTAGGAACGAAGGGAGTATTATGTACCGATTCTTGAAGACGAGTGTGGCGGAGGTGTCGAAGAGGACGTCGCCGGTGGAGCGGCGGGAGACGGTGAAGCGGAACGGGGCGGTGTGGATGGTGAAGGTCAGGTCTGAAGACTCGCTGGACATGGTGCTGCTGCCGGGGAAGGAAGCATTGATCATGCCCGAGGAATGTAGCAAGACGTCTTCTAGCGCCGGCGCTGGGCGTGGGATGACGTCCTGGGGGACCTCCCATCGCTGATGGTCGGCGTCGGTGATGCGCACGTGGAGCCGGTTGTCCGTCTCTAGGCTGCCGCCGGTCATATAAAAATTGAAACAGTGAGGGATTGTACCTCTTTTCAAAGAAAAAACCCAACTCAAGAATTAAACCCATTAATCAGATGAAGATCAAACACACTTACCTCGCAGTCAGATTGAGCCGCTTGACATCAGGCGCGAACTCCGCCGTCCCGCCTACAAGTTTCAGCTTCGCCGACAGCAAATTCCCTAACCCGGAGACCGACTCGACTTCATAGTTGGCGCCACAACGATGGAGAAGGCATGTGAGGATGGTGAGGAGTGCGAGAAGATCAACAAATGAAGAGATGATCGTCATCAGATGATATGATTTCAAAAAATGGGTGCAACACAAGTGAGTGTCATCAGCTGTTGCACGCTCAACTTTATATAGACTTGTAATCATCTTCAATGTTCGGAAAGTTTTAAATGTGCGCCTAAGATGATGACTATAAAAGGAGGTACTTCAAAGTTAAGACTTATCGCTTCCTCCAAATGAGGAAGTAAATTAAGGAGTACTAAAGAACAATGGTAAAGAAGGAAAGTAATTAATGCCAACGTATGTAAAAAGAAGATTAAGTTTGACCGAGTTCATAAAAATATACACTAAATTGCAAAGAAAAAAAACTCACATAAGATCCTTTATGAACCAAGTCATTTTTATAAGCTTGGTCAGTTAGAGAAGTTTGGTTTGGGACAAAAGTAGAACTGCAATTATTTTGGGAAGGCAAAGTATCTTATTCTGCCCCATTGCTATTTATTGTCTACGGTTACAGATGAAAAAAAATAAGTCAAGCTTTTGCATCTATGAGTTTAGCTATATAATATACAAGAAGGATTAGGGGTGCTATGTTGCGCGGTTGGTGTTGTTGGGATCTCATAAAAAGGGATTTACTGTGACTGTGAGGGGATATGATGAAGTGTGTTTTTTTTTTATAATGCGGTATTTTGATGGTTCTTTCTGGGTTATAAGAGCATCTACAGCCGGACTTAGCAAATATGACCACCTAAACGCCCGCGGACGTGCCCGGTCACTGGCCGGACGTGTCCGTCATTTGTTTGTTCACGCAGTCACAGTCCTCATTTTCTTCCTCATATATCCGGTCACATGCACGTATTGGCGGAGATGAAGAGAGAGAAAGAAAAGAATGAATAAAGAAAGAGAAAAGGTGGTCCGGAGTGGGGTCGCGTCCTATGTGGCGGACTGATCGGGCGCGCCCAAGCGCGTCCGAGAGCCTCTTATCCCACTAGTAGAAAACGGGGTATTTGTCCCGGTTCGTAAGGGCCTTTAGTCCCGTTTCTTGAACCGGGACTAATGGGTCGTTACTAATACCTCCACCCTTTAGTCCCGGTTCTTACACGAACCGGGACAGATGGGCATCCACGTGGCCGCTGCAGGCAGCCTAGGCAGGGGGGCCTTTGGTCCCGGTTGGTGACATAAACCGGGACCAAAAGGCTTCCACGCGTCAGCAGCTGGCTGGAGCTGATGTTTTTCTTTTTTTTTAAAAAAAGTTGCTGGTTTAGGGGTTTGGGGGCTAATAGAGAGAAGTGTCCTCTCTTATATCTTCGTCCTTGGTTTACCAACGCTACTGCTATGTTCATTTCACCCGCTGATATAATAACTCATGCATGCTCGCATCATACATCATCATATATAATAACAAGTCCTACTAATCATTCATCATCATACAACTTCTACTCGTTATTAATAATAAGTCATACGATCATCATCCTCATAGTCATCGAACTCAATCCTACATAATTGTTCTTAGCACATGATCATCAGTATCAGGTAGGACCTAAACACCCCTTAAGGTAAAATAGCATAAAACAATATAGACCCTGACTCTTCATTATGAAGAATGGAGATCATCCTATCTCCAACTCTTGCGCTTCGCTGCCTTTTGCTTCCAAGAAGCTCCTTACGACTATCCATACATTTTTTTCCATTCTTTGATTGTCATGTCTCCACTTCTTTCAGAAACCCAGTATGGACAGTTGAGATTCGTAGGAAGACCTAATTGTATGTTCAAAACATGAAGGCTACCGTGCGTATACATCAGATGAGGCACACAATCATTCGGGATTATCTGTTGAAAAACATAGTAATAACTTTGTAGTTAGCAATGATGTACTAGTTTTAGAAGTATGCAAAAAGATGCACGGATGTCGTAATAGTAAAAAATCTTACCAGGGTATCTCCATGGTAGTTACCGTAGTTCAACACGTGCACTAGGTGCACATATTGACCATAATTTTGAGGAGTTCGATTGTACACATTGTAATTCTCAAGATCAGTACAAAATGCGATCAGATGATTTTTCTCCTGGTAAGTTAATTCGGAGCCATCGGTGTAGTGGGTTTTGTCTACCATCTTCCGCACATTCTTTGAAGAATAAAAATAAGCTGTCAATGGAAATAAGCTGTCAACTATTTTGAAATAAATAATATAAATTACTTAATAACTATGTTAAGCTCAACATGGGGGAAGAATTGGAGGTGTATCCACAAGGACCCAAATCTCCATATTGTCTTGCTCGATTGTAGGATCATCAAGATCCATGGTGACAAGCATACCCTCAACAAAACCATACATCTTGCAAAGTGCTTCCCAATTTTTGCAACCAAAACAGGTTACACTCTCAGCATTGTACAGCTTTACTTTAAAATCCACACCATGATGGGTCCTTAGGAGAATTTTTTTGGTTTCCATACTTTCATGGTATTCAAAACCCATTGAGGGAGTCCTGGATTAGGGGGTGTCTGGATGGCCGGACTATGACCTTTGGCCGGACTCCCGGACTATGAAGATACAAGATTGAAGACTTCGTCCCGTGTCCGGATAGGGACTTTCCTTGGCGTGGAAGGCAAGCTTGGCGATACGATATGAAGATCTCCTCCCATTGTAACCGACTCTGTGTAACCCTAGCCCTCTCTGGTGTCTATATAAACCGGAGAGTTTTAGTCCGTAGGACGAACAACAACCATACCATAGGCTAGATTCTAGGGTTTAGCCTCTCTATCTCGTGGTAGATCAACTCTTGTACTACCCATATCATCAATATTAATCAAGCAGGAGTAGGATTTTACCTCCACCGAGAGGGCCCGAACCTGGGTAAAAACATCGTGTCCCTTGTCTCCTGTTACCATCCGCCTAGACGCACAGTTCGGGACCCCCTACCCGAGATCCGCCGGTTTTGACACCGACATTGGTGCTTTCATTGAGAGTTCCTCTGTGTCGTCACTTTTAGGCCCGATGGCTTCTTCGATCGTCAACCACGACGCGGTCCAGGGTGAGACTTTTTTCCCCGGATAGATCTTCGTATTCGGCGGCTTCGCACTGTGGGCCAACTCGCTTGGCCATCTGGAGCAGATCGGAAGCTACTCCCCTGGCCATCAGGTCAGATTTGGAAGCTTAAACTACACGGCCGACATCCGCGGGGACTTGATCTTCGATGGATTCGAGCCATGGCCGAGCGTGCCGCACTCTCTCAATGGGCATGATCTAGCTCTGCCGCCGGACAGCGCCTAGAGTGCCGCTCAGGTGTCCGCTCAGACCATTAACTCGGAGCCGACTGCGCTAGTCAGGGACGGACGGTTGGACGCCGCCCCAGGAGCCGCAATCTCTATGGTTATAGAGCCGAATACCAGCCTAGTCCTTTGCAAGGCCCGTGACTCCAAGGTGCCGGACTCCGTTCCGGACTCCGAATATCCCGCACCCCTTCTGATCGAACCCGATTGGGCCTCGATCATGGAGTTCACCGCCGCGGACGTCTTTCAGCACTCGCCCTTTGGCGATATCCTGGATTCACTAAAGTCTCTCTCTTTGTCAGGAGAGCCCTGGCCGGACTATGGTCAGCAGGGTTGGGTCGCGGACAACAAAGAAATTCGAAACCCACCCACCAACCAGTTGGTAGCCACTGTCAACGACCTAACCGACATGCTCGACTACGACTCCAAAGACATCGACGGTATGGACGCCGATGGAGGAGACGACCAAGAACCAGCACCTATAGGGCACTGGAAAGCCACCTCATCATACGATGTATACATGGTGGACACACCTAAAAGAAATGATAACGAGGATCAAAAGGGCGCAACCAGGGATCGCTCCCTCGAAAAACAATCAAAGCGGCGACATAAGCGCCACGCCAAGCCCCACCTCGACAAAGACCCAGCCATAGAGCAGGGCGAATCAACGGAAGACGAACATGCTGTCGAGCAACCGTCCAAACAGGGCGGACAATCCGAACAACCAATCTCCGGGAAAGATAATAGTCCGGACGACCTCACGCCGGACAAATTGCTGGAACATCAGAACCTCCACCAAAGGCTCGTTGCCACTGCACGTAGCCTCAAAAAGCAAAAGCGGAGGCTCAAAATAGCGAAAGATGCACTCAGAATTAGATGGGGCAAAGTACTCAATACCGCACATAAGTACGGCAATAGTCGTCACACAAAGAGCTATCCAAAGCGGAAACTACTACCGGAATTTGATGAAGAGGCCATAAAGCCCCCACAGTCAAAAAATAAGGAAGCCACCAGGTCGGATAGACGACCCCATGATCGGTCTCAAGCGAAAAAGGGCGCCGCACTCAATACGATGCGCAATCCGCCTAAGGATTCACATCAAAAAACTGGCCCAACCAGATCCATATATGGGCCAAGAAAGCAAGCTCCAGCAAGCAATGCAATGCAAAAAATATCCGAACATCGCGGCACACCTACATACAGGGGCACCGCACATCCCCTATGTTTTACCGATGAGGTGCTCGATCATGAATTTCCAGCGGGATTCAAGCCCGTGAACATAGAAGCATACGACGGAACAACAGACCCCGGAGTCTGGATCGAGGATTATATCCTCCACATACACATGGACAGAGGAGATGACCTTCACGCCATAAAATACTTACCCCTTAAGCTCAAAGGGTCAGCCCGGCATTGGCTTAAAAGCCTTCCCGAAAACACCATAGGAAGCTGGGAAGCGCTCGAGGACGCTTTCCGGGCAAATTTTCAAGGGACCTATGTCTGACCTCCCGATGCAGATGATCTGAGTCATATAACTCAGCAGCCCGGAGAGTCAGCCTGGAAACTCTGGAACAGATTCCTTACTAAAAAGAATCAGATAGTCGACTGTCCGGACGCCGAGGCCCTAGCAGCTTTCAAACATAGCGTCCGAGACGAATGGCTCGCCCGACACCTCGGCCAAGAAAAGCCAAGAACAATGGCCGCATTAACAAGCCTCATGACTCGCTTTTGCGCAGGAGAGGATAGCTGGTTGGCAAGAAGCAGCACCAGCGACCCAAGTACATCCGA